CATCTTCAATTGGTATTTCAACAAACATTAAAGAACATATGTTTTTAAAGCCTTTTGATTCTTGTTGATTACTAATAGTATTCAATGAAATTCGCTGAAAACCATTTTCGCAATTAACTGCTGTGTACCATTTTCTAATAGCTTTCTTCTTGTTCCGCTAGATGTTCCACTTTCAGATGAATCCAGTTGCCTGAAATGTTAAAAGCATATAATAATTGGAATAAAATTTTAGAAAAAATCAATATTACCAACCGTTTAGCAAATCTCTTTGACTACTACCTCCACTTCTATAATTAATTAATGGTTGTATTATAAATGATATACTATATTGCAAAGTTTATTTATAGAGTTTATACAGCCTGTTTCACAGTAAGCGCCTTATTTTTTTGGGTACACTATGGGTACTACTTTCAAAATATTTGGCAGTAATATGTTTTAAGACATTCTCTGCACGATGGTGATACCAGATTTTCAATTGGACGAATTATTTCAAAATGGCGACTTTCAACTTTTTCTTTTTAAATGGAATGTCATAATTTTTTTTATTATTGAGATCCTAAAAACATTCTTTTTACGGTAGTATTTTGTTTTTCTTAAAAATTCATTTCTTTTCCCATTAAAAAGGAAACTAACATTGTAATCTAGTAGTGCATGAATATTTTACTCGATGTTATTTTTGTAGCCGTTGACACAAAAGAAACAATTAAACGTTATTTTGTAATAAACATCTACTTTTTGAAACTCAAAATTAAAAATTTACATCAAATAAAAATTAGGTATTTACAAAAAATACTCGAAATGTTTTCCTTCTTTTCCAATACATAAATTGAAACGTAGTTCAATGGAGTCAATAGATTGATAGCATTAGTTGACGTTTGACTACTAGATTAAAGTTCAATTGTTCTACCGCTACTTGATATTTGGACAAAAATAACATCGAGTGTAAAACATTCAGGAGCTACTAGATTAAAATGTTAGTTTGCTTCTTGATGGGGAAAGACAAGAATTTTTAAGTAAAACGAAATACTATCGTAAAAAGAATGTTTTTAGGATCTCAACAATAAAAAAAAAATATGGCATACCATTTAAAAAAAAAGTTGAAAGTCGCCATTTTGAAATAATTCGTCCAAATGAAAATCTGGTATCACCATCGTGTAGAGAATGTCCTAAAACATATAACTGCCAAATATTTTGAAAGTAGTACCCATAGTGTGGCTAAAAAAAATAAGGCGCTTACTCTGAAACAGGCTGTATAATAATAAATACGATAAGTACAAAAAAAACTATTTTCCCAAAAGTTCTAACATTGGAACTATGCGCTAAACGGGTCCATAAATTTTTTTAATAATTTCAGACCCCTCTCAACTGCAGAACCCATTCAAGTAATAGAACACGAGGATTTTTGGGCCCCTGATGTTTTATCACTCCTCCAGATGACGATGCTGAAAGTGCCGAAGATAGCGGCAATGAAGACTTCTGCAACGACATCAATAACTGAATGGTCAACAGTGTCAAACGGAAACTATGGCGAAAATTACAAAACAAGGACGGACTTTCACAATTGGTGATAGCGACACTGACGAAGAGTCAAATAGTGACAACTAACCTTAGTCAGAAATACAAAGGAAGTTACCGAAAAAAAAAGAAACTGGAAAAAATCCGATCTTATTTCTGGATTGTCCGCACAGAAAAACAAAATCGCTGTGCTTTCTGTAAAAAGAACACAAGATAGTCTTGTCAAAAATGTAAAGTCAATCTGCATGAATCCTGTTTTATGAATGGACAATAAATAATTCCAATACATGTATTGTTAAAGTTTATGTTGATTTAATTGATTTTACTAAGAAAGTATATGGTCTCGTTCATGCCTATTGTTTCAAAAAGACTACGAAAAAACAGTATTTTCTTAAAAATAATGCTTGAAGTAAGTTACAAAGGATAAAAATTGCACCAAAATGACACTGGCAACACAAAAATTTTATAAAAAATTAATTAGTTCATAAACGGATTAATCTTTTTCATTTTTTTGTTGAAATCAATATACTGGTCACACATCAGTTTACTCGGACGGCACAAAGCCACCTATAAAACTGTATACAATAACATAAGCAGAGCACAGAACCATCAAACTCATATAAGTTTAGCACTCTCATTTATCGCTGAACATTGATTATGAGTACTATTTGCTTTTTATTTCAGTTACAACAGAAAATTTGGGTTCATATAAAGAGGTTGTTTAAAATGAAGCATGAACATCCTTAACCCATATTATCCCAGATCTACAAAAATATGCCAGGTTCTTATAAAATTTACATCCGTTCATCTTACGTCGTTCAGAAATACAGTAGTGAACAAAAAAAATGTATACGACATTTAGTTTTATATTTTTAGAATTAAATAATATTACCCGGTTCGATACGTAAGACTAAATGAAAAACTTTTTTTTATAACTTTTATTATAGTAATTAATAACTCAACAANGATAGCATTGGTTGACGTTTGACTACTAGATTAAAGTTCAATTGTTCTTTTGTGTCTACCGCTACTTGATATTTGGACAAAAATAACATCGAGTGTAAAACATTCACGAGCTACTAGATTAAAATGTTAGTTTGCTTTTTGATGGGGAAAGACATGAATTTTTAAGAAAAACGAAATACTATCGTAAAAAGAATGTTTTTAGGATCTCAACAATAAAAAAAAATTATAGCATTCCATTTAAAAAAAAGTTGAATGTCGCCATTTTGAAATAATTCGTCCAATTGAAAATCTGGTATCACCATCGTGTAGAGAATGCCCTAAAACATATAACTGCCAAATATTTTGAAAGTAGCACCTATACTGTGGCTAAAAAAAAATAACGCGCTTACTCTAATAAAAAATTGCAATATTGAATTGCTTATAGCAAATACAACTGTATCAATATAAATTTGAGAAAAAGCAAAATGAACTATTTCACAGAATTCGTCGAAGACGATCTGTGATCTTCCTTTGTCTGGTTAATATGAAGGTCAGCCAATCTCGTCTCTCCTTCCATCTCCGGTAAGCTTCCCGTCCTTGTTCTTAATCATCTCTGACCTGGTCTGCAATCCTCACTTCTCCTCCTTTATTCTGTCACACATCTGTTTTACCTCTTTCTTTTCGATCATCTTTATTTCCTCTATCTTCCCGCGGTCCTATTCTCTCCTCTCTCTCCAAATATTATTAATATTTATTAAGTCTCCCAGAATTATCTAGTAATCTATTATAAACCTATGTGCATATTGTTATACAACCTATGCACTTAATATGTAGGTGTTGAGCTGGGGAATAAATTAATAAAAACAAAAAAAGTCTATTGATGTGGATGCTCCATGTTAGTCTTTGATCTAGTATGCTTCCGACTGTATAAATTATTGAGTTATTGCGGTAATATCACCATTATCAGGTAATTTGGTATTACACAAAAATATAGGTTAAGCAACAACAAAATTTTTTTTTAATTCGGAATTAAATAATAAAAATGCACGGAACAAGTTGGTTAATTTGTCAAAATCTCATTTCAAACATTGACTTCTCCAATTACAAAGATAAAATTACCTATGTTTTTTTTTTGATTTCGAACTTATGAAAGAATGTGCCTTCTGTTTTTCCCTCGGAAGCGGGAGATGACACTTTGTTCGGGCGTACTCGGCTTTGTGGAGGGCATTTATTGAATTATAGTACAACTTGGTAAATCTATCTTGGCCGGTGAAGGTGAAGAAAAACCGTACCCAAGAATGAATTTAGATATCACCATGAAATAAAAAAACATTTTAAAACAAATTTTATGAAGATTTAATGTGCCATAAATAATTTCTTATTGTCCATATTCATCGTAGTTATGATTTTTTAAATATAGGGTGTAAATGTAACTACTGTTTTCCATATTCTATTGCAAAAACATTAAATTCCGTTTATAGTGTGGTAAATTTCCTACAACTTTTCTCTAAAGAAGAACTGTGTATCTCGGCTCCTTAATGTCATTTATCTACTTTGCCGCTTACGTGGGACTTACAGTGCTGTCAAACCTAAACGTTAGAGGGTGAGGGTAAGGGTATGTGAATAGGTGTGATATCAGAATTGAGGATAAGAGACTGGGAGAATTAATATAGGATAAGAAAGGAAAGGTGTGATTGTCAAGGACCTCATTCAGTGCAACTCCAGTTATACAATCGTTAACTGCACTTCCCTATCCACACCCTTCTCCCCTATCCCTATTCCTCAACAGAAAAGAATTCCAATTAATGATTGTGTAACTGGTTTGCACTGATTGAGATCCTTGACAACCAATCCTTTTCCTCCCCTACCCTAATAATTTCTCCTCATTTTGATATCACTTCTCCTCACAATTTAATTCATTATTTTGGATTTAAATTTGTTTTCCTCTCCACTCCCGCCATTTTCGGGTTGTTCTCTTGCACATGCGCACCCCTCCTAAATGACAACTTAACCTATGTGTTTTAACGTGGTTCCTGCATTTCCTTCATGGCATTTTAAAAGTGTACATACATTTCTGCTAGCAGCAACATTTTTTCATGTTAAATTTCCACGTATATTACTTTTATATTTAACGATGTAAGTATTTTCATAATGACTTATAGGAACTATTTTAATTTGTTAATTACATAACCTCAAAAATTATAATTTATTGTTTTGTACATCTTTAATGTTTTCGTTATTGCTTGTAGACCTCCGATGATGGTCCAATAGTGACCGAAACATGTCAGGTTGATTTAATATTTAAAATAAAACCAGTTGTAAAACATTTCTTTTGGATTTTATTTATTCGTCCCACTAGTTAAAATTATGGATCCACCTATTCAACTAAACGTTAGACCCTTGGCGTTTCATGTTTTTGTGGTGTGAATTTATTTATTGTCGTCGTGTTTTCTACTAATTGATGAATAACAAATATAATTCTTACAGATTTTATTCATTCTATATCACTCTGTAATTTTTAATTTTCCTTCGATTTACAGTTTATAACAACATAATGTCTCATGTCATTGTTAGTGCTTGCAATCAAGAAGATAGTATGAAAAAATCGAATAACTTATTTTCGTCTTCTTTAAACAAAAATCAAAGCGAAAATTTTGATTCGCTTAAATTGAGCATATTATCTTATATTAAAGCTGTAAATAAAAAGAATGAATCTATGCTAAGTACCAGATCACGCCAACATAAACAAGAACCTGATTTAAATAAAATTGTAAGCAGAATATCGACAGAAGAAGTTCATTATATTAAACGTAAACGCAAATCTTTAGTATGCCAAGAAAAGGTTGTAGATAATTTTACTGAAAATGTCGACAAACCGAGTTTAGACTTTACTGATGATTTACCGCAAAAGAAACAACCAAGGATATCTACAGAATCGGAAAAGTATGTAGAAATAAAGAATCTAATGACATCTGCTGATATCAAAGCTATAGATGACCTTTTGGAGAGTTTAAAAACATATAGAAATATAGCTGAACTTGAAGATGTAGCTGATTCTGTAGAAGTGACGCAGGCATCATTGTCTACTTCAATCAATTACTCAACAGAAATGATCGAAAATATTACAAATGGGTGTATTGAACCGATCGTGATAATACCTCCACAGCAATGCAAAGCAAAACTTATGACACATCCTAATGTATATCAGAAACCAATTTCACCGGTTGTTACCGTACTACGTGAAAGTAAAGGAATTATCCGAAAAGTAATAAGTATACTAGAGCCGTTCACGATACAAATTCCACCGCAATGCAACGTACGAGTTACAATAAAACACAGCAAAAAATACAAAGACATTTTACCGGTTGTTAACATATACAGCCAATCTAAGCATATAAAAGTAATAAGCCTACCTCCCTAATTAAAACCGATTTATAATGAAGACGAGATAAAAGGTGAGTTTTGTAAATTCTTTGATGAGTTTTCGCCGAAAGTAAGATTACGATTTTGGTGATCAATTTTTTCTTTCACAGAACGTGTTTCAGCTAGCATGTTTATATCACCATATTCCATCATACCACGTCACAGTTCGTGTTGTACGCGGGATTAACTGTGTGGCGCCATATAAATACCCCTCCCTTCTTCATTGAGCCGGTCGAGGACTCGCGTACATTTCAGGGTGGTAAAACTAGTTTTGTCCTTGTCGAAAAATTTTTTATCGTTCTTTATTTTGTTAAATTTAAAAAAAAATCGGTTTAATAAGGTTTGGCGTCACAATGGTCCAATAGCGACCGAAACATGTCAGGTTGATTTAATATTTACAATAAAACCAGTTGTAAAACATTTCTTTTGGAATTTATTTATTCGTCACACTGGTTAAAATTATGGATCCACATAGGTATTTAACTAAACGTTAGACCCTTAGCATTTCATATTTTTGTGGTGTGAATTTATTTATTGTCGGCGTGTTTTTTACTAATTGTGGAATAACAAATATAATTCTTACTGATTTTATTCATTCTATATCACTCTGTAATTTTTANACATGCGATGCAAAAACGTTCTTGTTAAATCTATATAATCGTATTTGGAGTAGTGGTACTTATCCTAATAACTGGAAAAAGGCCATAGTAATTCCGTTGCTTAAAGAAAATAAAGACCCCACATCATCTAACAGTTACCGTCCTATAAGCTTAAGGTGTTGCATTGGTAAAATACTAGAGAAAATGGTGAGCTATAGGTTGATGCATATAGTAGAACAGGAAAACCTACTTTCTAACTTCCAATTTGGATACAGACTAGGTCGCTCCACAATTGATAGTATTGTTTTGCTTGAGAATGCTATTCAGGAAGCCTTTCTACAAAAACAGGTTTTGGTAGCGGTTTTTTGACTTAGAAAAAGCATATGACATGACATGGCGCCATGGAATAATGGTTCAATTGCACAGCTGGGGTTTAAGTGGCATTTTGCCTATGTTTATTCAATCATTTCTTTCGGACCGTTCCTTTTGTGTCAGAGTGGGGAATGGGATCTCATCGGAGCATTTGTTGGAAAATGGCGTTCCTCAGGGTTCTACTTTAAGCGTGGCCCTTTTTCTCATTGCTATGAATGGTGTAATATCCAATCTTAACCCAGAAATAGGAAGATCTTTATACGTGGATGACCTTTGTATATATTTGAAAGGATCCACAGTACAACAACTTAATAATTCACTTCAGCCTGCCATCAACACTATATTAGAGAACACTATATCGATTGGTTATAAGGTATCTGTGCAAAAAACAAAGTGTGTTCTATTCTCTAGACGATATCGTCATCAAGAAAATCCCTCTTTGCATTTACAAAGTATCCGTATTGGTGTTGTTCCTGAAATTAAATTCTTAGGGATGATATTCGATGCCAAGTTACGATGGCAGAGCCATATTCAGTACATTATTTCGCGTTGTCGGAAATCATTAAATCTACTGCGCGTTTTATCTGGTACAAGGTGGGGGGCTGATACTACAGTGCTGAAGATGTTGTATAAAAGTGTGATATTGCCTGTTATTGATTATGGTAGTGTGGTGTATTCCTCTGCAAGAATAATCGTACTCAAAAAACTTAATGTAATACACAATCTTGCAATACGGTACATACTTGGGGCTTTTCCCACTAGTCCGGTTCATAGTNTTTTTTTTACTTGTTATAGTGACCGGTGACGATCTTCACAGCAAAACAGGATACTATTTTTCTTAGTTTTTCCTTTTAAAAGATAGCTGTCTGATATAATTTTTGATATTTCAAATTATTTAAATAATCTCTTATTTAATTTATTTCTTTTTATTTCTCAATTTCTTTCATTAATTTTAGTAAGATTTTATAACATTGTTTCATACATTTCACATAGTAATTTTATTAAATAAATTTATTTTGGATATATTTCAATCTTGTTAGTACCAGATGTGACGTTGAGTTCACATTTTTTATTGCTTCGGTATTTAAAGAAATCTGGACATCAGATTCTCTTTTAGTGAATTTTGTTGCAAAAATATTCAACTTTGTGTTTTAATTTTGGGATTTATTGTGTATTCATTTTATTTATATTTCCAGTGCGAATATAAATTTATGGATAAATTTATTCCGGAGATAATTATTTTTAACGAATAAAAACTTTATGAACTGACTAAGGCCTCGACGATCAGAGGTAGGTTTGATATAATTTTCTTCAATTCCATATATTCATTCACTTATGTTATTTCAACAAGCGTTTTCATGGGTGGTTACGTTTAGCAACTTAGAAAGGAATATTGAAAGTACAAATAAGGTAGGAACGTGACCTACTATGAGCTAAACTTATTCCCCAAATTTCATTTTCCTGGCGTTTTTAGTTCTCGAGAAAAACAAATTAAACCAAAATGTTCCGCCATTTTTGAAGGCGCGTAGCTCTCCAGGGGAATCGAAGTCGCTCATAGTTCATATCGCGTTTCCCATCGACTCAAAGCCAAGGAGGGTCGTGTGCGCCCAATTATTATGCGATTCAATAACAGGAATATTAAAAATCGCATTTATTCCGACAAAAGCATGTTGAAAGGTTCTGATGTGTTAATTAGAGAAGATCTTCTGTTTAGGAAAATATTGCTTTTGAAAGAGGCGTCCAACCGACTTGGAGTACGAGCTGTTTGGACTAACAACTGTAAAATTTGACTAAAAGGAGTAATCGTATTGTTGAAATTAAAAGTTCAGATGACCTGCAGAACATGGTTGGGAGTGAAAATCGGGCAGTGGACGGGAAATAAGCACGGTCAGGTAATTATTAATTTTGTTTTATTTGGAATATAATTCAGATTTAGTATTTTTTTTCTTTTTTTTTTGTTTTGTATTCTTTTTTTTGTATTATTAGAATTTTGTGATCTCTGGATTTATTTGCTTTCTCATGAATGAGGATCTCTTTAGTGTGGCGCACTTGAACGTTCGCTCCTTGNAGATACTATTTTTTATAAGTTATATTTCATATCTATAACAATCATATGTTACCTTTTTTTTCCTTTACTAATCCCTTCCATTTTTTTTATCAGTTTTATTTTAGAGATGCAAAGTGAATTTTTTTTTGAGATTGTTCTTTTTCTTGTTTTTTTTTTTACTAGTTATAGTGACCGGTGACGATTTTCACAGCAAAACAGGATACTATTTTTCTTAGTTTTTCTTTTTAAAAGATAGCTGTCTGATATAATTTTTGATATTTCAAATTATTTAAATAATCGCTTATTTATTTCTTTTTATTTTTCAATTTCTTTAATTAATTTTAGTAAGATTTTATAACATTGTTTCATACATTTTACACAGTAATTTTATTAAATAAATTTATTTTGGATATATTTCGATCTTGTTAGTACCAGATGTGATGTTGAGTTCACATTTTTTATTGCTTCGGTATTTAAAGAAATCAGGATATCAGATTTGCTCTCTTTTAGTGAATTTTGTTGCAAAAATTTTCAACTTTGTGAAATTTAATTTTGGGATTTATTGTGGATATCCGCTGTTAGCGAGGTCATCACGAAGATATTCATTTTATTTATATTTCCTGTGCGAATATAAATTTATGGATTTATTACGGAGATAATTATTTTTAACGAATAAAACCTTTATTAACTCACTAAGGCCTCGACTATCAGAGGTAGGTTTGATATAATTTCCTTCAATTCCATATTTTCATTCACTTATTTTATTTCATCAAGCGTTTTCATAGGTGGTTACGTTAGGAACTTAGAAAGGAATATTAAAAGTACAAATAAGGTAGGAACGTGACCTACTATGAGCTAAACTTATTCCCCAAATTTCATTTTCCTGGCGTTTTTATCGCATTAATCGATTAATCGAAGTCGCTCATAGTTTATATCGCGTTTCCCATCGACTCAAAACCAAGGAGGGTCGTGTGCGCCCAATTATTGTGCGATTCAATAACAGGAATATTAAAAATCGCATTTATTCCAACGAAAGCATGTTGAAAGGTTCTGATGTGTTAATTAGAGAAGATCTTACGTTTAGGAAAACATTGCTTTTGTAAGAGACGTCCAACCGACTTAGAGTACGAGCTGTTTGGACTAACAACTGTAAAATTTTCACTGAAAGGGGTAATCGTGTTGTTGAAATTAAAAGTTCAGATGACCTGCAGAACATGGTTGGGAGTGAAAATCGGACAGTGGACGGGAAATAAGCACGGTCAGGTAATTATTAATTTTGTTTTATTTGGAATATAATTCAGATTTAGTATTTTTTTTCTTTTTTTTTTTTGTTTTGTATTCTTTTTTTTGTATTATTAGAATTTTGTGATCTCTGGATTTATTTGCTTTCTCATGAATGAGGATCTCTTTAGTGTGGCGCACTTGAACGTTCGCTCCTTGCTCCCCAAAACTGGAGATGTTGCTGAATTACTTCACTGTGAGAATTTTGATATTTTGTGTGTTTCTGACACTTGGTTATCGCCATCTATTGATGATGGCTTGGTGTCCATTGATGGTTATTGTTTGTATCGTAGAGATCATAGACTTACTACACTAGACCGCGCCTCCCTAGCAGCTGCTATAAGAGCGTGTGTTGCCAAGATATGTAGGCAACCCGTAGTCCAAGGAGGGGCAGAAAAGCGAATGTAGCATTCAAGGTAGTGCATATCTCCTTTACTACAACTTGCGGTATTATTTAGAGCAAACCCCAGGCTTACATAGAAACAAACGGAAAACAATAAATGGAAATTTCGCAATTTTTAAGTCGTATTCGACTATTCAGTGTTGACCAAAAACTTTGTCTTTACAAATTTTACTTGTCTCGTATGTGATTTCGCTTATATCGGAATTTAGGTGGAACAGTGGTAATAGTAGAAACACAATTCATTTTGACAATTTATATTTATTGTTTTGTATACAAACTACTTAAAATAAGAAATATCAAAACTAAAAAACAAAACGTATAAAAATTAAATTGAGAACCGCACTCAGAATTATTATAAAGTACTATGCTGTAGTACAATTTGGTAACCTACTGGTTTTTAAATAACGTTAGTTTGTTATATATTTG